CAAATGATGTTATATAAAACTAATTATTATTTTTTTTAATCTTAGGTTTCTTCTCTAGAGTTGACTTTGACTATTTAAATTGAGGCAGGAAACTTTGGCCGGGTGCAGTGGCTCATGCCCGTAATCTTAGTACTCTGGGAGGCCAAGGTGGGTGGATTGCTTGAAGTCAGGAGTTCGAAACCAGCCTGAGCAAGAGCGAGACCCCATCTCTACTAAAAATAGAAAAAAAATTAATTGGTCAACTTAAAATATTTAGAAAAACTTAGCTGGGCATGGTGGCATATGCCTGTAATCCCAGCTACTCAGGAGGCTGAGGCAGGAGGATTGCTTGAGCCCAGGAGTTGGAGGTTGCTGTGAGCTAGGCTGATGCCACAGCACTCTAGCCTGGGAAACACAGTGAGACTCTGTCTCAAAAAACAGAAGAAACTTTAGAGTTTAAGTCAAAAGACTTGAAAGATGTTTAATTCCTAAAAAGTCATCTAATCACTTTTTAAGTTTTCCCTATTTTAAAATAGGGCTCAATAATACCTACCCTGATGATCTCACAATTGTGGATATCAAGTGAAAAAATTGAATAACATTTAATCAGAACTCTTGATTTCCCCCACCCAACCTGCTTCTCCTTCAGTCTTGCTCATCTGTGTAGGTGGTGTCACTATCCAACTAGTTATATAAGCCAGAACCCTACAGATTTTCCTATATTGTCTTATTTCCCTTGCATCCAAAATCCAATCCCTCAAGAAATCCTCTACTGACTATATTGCTGAAACTTATCTTGATTTTGTGTATTTTTTTCCTCTGTCTTATTACCATCACTTTAGTCCAAGTTGCCATTCTTTCTCTTCTCTCAGCTGCAAAGGTCTCCTATAATAATAACTTTTCAGCTTCTTTTCTTTTCTCCCTGTATCCAGGCTTCAGTGTGCAGCCAAAGTGATCTTGTATCAACATCAATCAGATCATCTCTCCCCTTGCTTAATCTGTCTCTGCCCACCTTTGTGACCTTTCTCTAACCACTCTGCCCTGGCTCACTCTGCTGGAGCTGTACTCATCTTCTGCCTCAGAGTGACTGTTGCCACACAACCTAGAGGGACCTCAAAGAACTAAAATAGACTTACCATTTGATCCAGCAGTTCCACTACTGGGTATCTACCCAAAGGAAAAGAAGTCATTTTATAAAAAAAGATACCTGCACCCAAATGTTTATCACAGCACAGTTCATAATGTAAAGATATGGAATCAACCTAAGTGCCTATCAGCTGTGATAAAGAAAATGTGGCATGTATATACCACATAGTATAACTCAGCCATAAAAAGGAATGAAATAATGTCTTCTGCAGTAACTTCAATGGAACTGGAGACCATTATCCAAAATGAAGTGTTTCAGGAATGGAATAAATACTACATGTTCTCTCTTTAAGTGAAAGCTAAACAAGGGGCATATATGATCATAAAGTGGTGTAATGGACATTGAGAACTAAGAAGGGGGCAGAGTGGAAGCAGATGAGGGATAAAAATCTACCTATCAGATACAGTGTATACTATTCTGGTGACAGGTACACTAAAGAGCCCTGACTTCATTAAAAAATTCATCCATGTAACAAAAAACACTTGTGCCCCAAATGTATTGAAATTTTTAAACAGATAAGGATTTTAGAACACTTTCACTCTCTTCCTTTTACCCTCTTCCTCTATATTATACCTACTTCTCAATCTTTTTAGTATTTCTTATATTTTATCTCAAGATTGTATATAATTGAAAAAATAATCTTTTTAAAGTAATTTTATGTTTTATTTATTTTCATAACCAGACTTAAAACCATAATTAGTTTCCAATTATATGGGCTGGAATTTCTTTGACAAAATAGGAAGGAAGGAAGGAAGGAAGGAAAGAAAGGGAAGGGAAGGGAAGGGAGGAAAGGAGAGGGGAGGGGAGGGGAGGGGAGAAAAGAGAAGAGAAGAGAGAAAGAGAAAGAGAAAGAAAGAGAAAGAGAGAGAAAGAAAGAGAAAGAGAAAGAGAAAGAGAAAGAGAAAGAGAAAGAGAAAGAGAAAGAGAAAGAAAGAGAAAGAGAGAGAGAAGAAATAGCCCAGAGAGTTTCAGAGGCTTGGCCTTGTCATACAGAGTCAGTAGTGAGATGAGGCCAGGGCACCTTCTCCTGGCTCCTTGCCTGGTGCTTTCCTCAGTGTCTACACTGCCTCTGCAGCACGTGCTGTACATTAACTGGATACATTGACTCTCGTGGAATAGGAACTCGGAACTCTCTGGACCTTCTTGATTCTGCTGAGCCTTTGAATTGAAGTGTGTTGTAGGTTTTAGTGAATTTGTTATTATTTTTAACCTACTACTACTTGAAATAACCTACTTGAAATGAGCTCCAGCAAGTCTTGAGATTAGTTAAACTAAGTAAGAAATGGCTTTGTTTTTCAAAACAACTTTTTTTTTTCAAGTTTTGAAGTATCTTGTAAATATTTTCAGTTCCTTTTTATTTTCAGTTACTTCTTTAGTTCAGGGTTCGAGAAACAACCACAGAAAGGAGAGAACAAGTTCTGAAATGCAGTAAGAAAAATAGTTTGTTTTTGAGGATTTTCTAGTTCAATGAACAGCAGGAAGCACCAGCTTCTTCTCACAAAATCTCCAGTCAAATGTTTAATCTCAAAGGACTCCAGCAGTTGATAGAAACATTCTCAAAGTTGTGCCAGCTTATCTGAACCAAAGATAAATTCATGCATTTGATAGTTCCTCAGTCAATTGTAAATACCATAGTTGATCCCCCTGTACAGTCCTTGTAACAAATAGGGTATTATCACAAGGCACAGGATGTAGAAATAAGGAGACTTAGAGTCAAGCTTTGACTTTGTATATGATTTTCAAGAACACTTAAACTGTTCTCTAAGAACACATTTAAAGCTTATTATATTTTCATATTTCTATCTCCATAAAAATAAATACTAATGACTGACATCAAAACTCACTCTTCCTTCCTTAGTACCAGATCTTGTAGAGTACTGTAAATACTTTATGTCCAACAAATGTTTTGATAACTATTTGCCTTTATTTTTTAGAGAAATCTTTATATAAGTCAAATATATAATGAGAATAGCAGTATTACAAATTCTTTTGTTTTATAAAACAAAAGTTTATAATGTTCCAGAGTAGGATTTCTAAAAGCATTTTTCTCAACCTTTTTCATCCTAATATATTCTTTATCTCCTTTATCCAGTGTTTATCTTATATCCAGTGTCCAGCAGGCACTAGGCTACATGTATAGCTCTCAGAAATTATCAACTTTAGTTATATATAATTTTTACTCCAAGAAAAGATAAGATTAAATAAGGCTGGGCACAGTGGCTCATACTTGTAATTCCAGCACTTTGGGGGAGACTAAGGCAGAAGGATCATTTGAGGCCAGGAGTTCAAGACTAGCCTGGACAGCATAGCAAGACCCTGTCTCTACAAAAAACAAATTTAAACATTAAACATTTTTTTTAAAAGTAAATTTAGGGGGTTCAGAGCAAGATGGCAGACAAGAAACATCTCCAGACAGAGTGTCTTTGCAAAAAAGATAGTTTCTAGAAGAAATTAGAAGAAAGAAGCAAGCAGAAGAGCATACATTGGATGAGGGTTGGAAGGAGGGGTACCAGAGACTATGGGAGACTCCACAGGAGGAGGTTGAAGAGGAGAACTGGAAGAAGAAACCTCCGGAGCAGCCTGGAGACCAGCAGTAAGGATAGGTAGAGCAGTCAACTTCCCCCTCCCTTGCATCTCAGATTGCTGGTGGGCTCCCCAGCAGGAGGAGAGACCTGCGGACACCAGCCCAGAGATGGCCACCGCCAGTGAGCAGTAAGCCTGTAGCGGACGTGGCACCAGGCTCCCAACTCCCTCAGGGCACCTCCGTGTGCACAGACCCGACCCATGTGGCAGGTGCCATATTGCTTCATTCTCCCCTCCCCCTTCCCTATCCACAGCTGCTGAGAGAGACAATACAGCCACCAGCTGGAGGCATCTCCAAGGAACAAGACCTTCCCTATTGGGACCTTCCCTATTGGGGCCTTTCAGCTGACTGAGGGGAACTCAGATTGTGAGCTCCCTACCCGCCAGCCCAACCAGGTGCTGCTGGCTGGGTGATTCCAGGAGAACGGGGCAGACCCTGAGGCTGAGAGACATCGACCCAGCTTGGGCTCCCATGGGTGAATTGGGACTGGCACTCCTCTCCCTGGAGGGTCAGGGAGTGAATTCTGGGGCCCAGAGGTCAGACCTGCTGACCAGATCCCATGCACCCAGGTCTCGCATTGCCCAGAGCACAGAGGGGATATTCGTGAACGAGCCTGCTAGGGTGTGTGTGCCTTAAAGGGCAGATCAGCATCATTGAGGGCAAATCTCCTCCCAAGGGGGGCCGTGTGCCCAGCCCAGGCAGTAACTTGGTGCAGGGAGCCTCTCGGCCTATATCTCAGCCAGGGTAGACCCGGTGGTGTGGGGTCTGGCCTGCTGGCAGAGGCCCAGGAGAAGCCACGGAGTTGGGGACAGTGGAAACGATCAGGGCCCACTCGAGAATGTGGGTCTCGGACAGCCCCCCCACCACACGCAGACTTTCTGACTGGGTGGGGCCATTCCAGCCCCTCCCTTACAGCTTTTCCTAAAAGCAGAGAACAAAACTTTGACCCCTGCTAACGGCATTGGTGGTGCCTGAGGGCAGGCTTAACCAACCCAGCTCCGCACAGACTCACTCCCAGACCAGCCCTCACTGAGGTGGAGAATAAGGACACACCTGGAAGTCCCAGGGCCCCACCCACCACCTGAGGCACTAGAGTGCCTCTCCAGTGGAACAAGAGCTGGTTACAGGACCCCAAAACAATACTTTAGCCTGTTCCTCCCAGCAAGTGCCACCTACTGACAGGGAGGACATTCTGCACACCCTTTTATGACATCTACTGACTTATACAGGGTGTGGTCGAATGTCACACACAAACACCACCTACTGGTTCAGAGACTAAACAGGGTGTATCATTACCCAAATGAAAACCTAAAGGTAAGAAGCAACAACTGATCCAGATGGGAAGAAATCAGTGAAGGAACTATGGAAATATGAAAACCCAAATGGAAAGCACACCCCCAAAGAGGAACACCAGCCCCTCAGAAATGGACATCAACCAAAATCAGACCACTAAAACGACAGAAGAAGAATTTCAAGTATGGATTGTAAGAAAATTCAATGATTTGCAAGAAAAACTAGATAACCAACACAAAAAACACAAAAAGATTCCAGGACCTGGAAAAAAAATTCACTGAAGAAATTGAATTATTAAAGAAAAATCAAACCAAACTCCTTGAAATGAAGAATCAATTCAGGGAACTACAAAACATAGTGGAAAGCCTCAAGAACAGGGTAGATCAAACGGAAGAAAGAATCCAGAGATTGAAGATAACACCTTCCAATTAAATAAATAAGTCACAGAGATAGAGCAGAGAAACAAGAGAAAAGAGCAAAGCCTACAAGAGATGTGGGATTATGTGAAGAAACCTGATGTGAGGGTTATAGGGTTACTACAAGGGGAAGAAGAAAACACTCAAGTGTTGGACAAGCTATGTGAAGATATAATAGAGAAAAATTTCCCAGGCCTTGGTAAAAATCTTGATATACAAGTTCAAGAAGCTCAAAGGACCCCTGAGAGATTCAATGCAAACAGGGAGATGTCACAACATGCAGTCATCAGTCTGACCAAAATATCAGCTAAAGAGGCCCCTCTACAAGCTGTAAGATCAAAGAAGCAAGTAACATACAAAGGAAAGCCAATCTGAATAACGCCAGACTTATCTACTGAAACTTTACAAGCAAGGAGAGACTGGGGCCCCATTCTCACTCTTCTGAAACAGAATAATTCCCAGCCTAGAATCTTATTTCCTGCTAAACTAAGTTTTGTATAGGAAGGAGAAACCAAGACATTCTCAGATAAGCAAAGACTGAGGGAATTCACCAAGACAAGACCAGGCCTTCAAGAAGTACTCAAAACAGTGTTACCCACAGATCAGCACAATAAACAATCACCAATGTAAATCTACTCAAAAGCTAAAGATCAAAGCCCAGAAACCACAATGGCACAAGAGAGAAAACAAAGCAACAAAGTTCAACCCAACATAATGAACAGAAATCTGCCCCACCTATCAGTTATCTCAATAAATGTGAATGGCTTGAACTTCCCACTCAAGAGACATAGGCTGGCCAAATGCATAAAAGAACACAAGCCAAGTATCTTCTGCCTTCAGGAAACACATCTAACCTGCAAGGATGCAGTTAGACTAAAGGTAAAGGGGTGGAGAACAATATTTCAAGCAAACGGAAGCTAAAAGAAAGCTGGCGTGGTGGTGCTGATTACAGATAACTTAGTTTTTAAATCAACAAAAGTAATAAAAGACAAAGAAGGTCACTATATAATGGTGAAGAGTACAGTTCAACAAGAAGACATAACAATTCTAAATATATGCACCCAACCCAGGTGCACCCAGATTTATAAAGCAAACTCTACTTGATCTAAACAAATGGCGAATAGGCTGGAAGAGTGCTTGGAAAATGGCAGAATAGGGCTGACCTCTTGACTCTCAGCTCTTGGGGTGAAGGGTGAAGACAACGGATGACCACATGCAGGCCATCTGCACCTACTTTGGAGCAGATTCGCAGGACTGCAAAGAGACACTGGGATACAGAAATATGGACAACAATTAAAGGTGGAACGAAATTCTTTCACAAAACCCAGGGAGTCGGAAGTATAGTGGGGAAGGAGCACGCCTGCCCATCAGATGTCCCACGGGCTGGCCAGAGAAGGCATCCCTTCTCCCCCACACGAGGAGATGATCCCTTCCCCACTGGTCCCAATGCCCATGCAGGCAGGGAACTGCCTGAAGTTGATGGGTGGTGGCAACGTGGGCAGATGAGCACTTTGGAGGGGAGTCTGAAGCAGGCAGCATTTTGAATTCTACAGAGCGCCCTGCTGAAGCAGTGGGGAATGCAGGAAGGGTCTGAACCTAACACCCGCTCTTTAGCCCTGCTGCCCAGCCCCGCGGTTTGGAGACTCCGTGCAGAGCCCTGCGGGAGGTGCTCTCCCAGCTTACTCAGGGCCCCAATCCACCTGAACTGTTCCTGCTTCAGGAGAGGGCAGTCTATCAAGCCCACAGTGCCTCTGAAGTAGTAGTGGGTAGGTAGAAGGGCCCAGCCACGTGCCTGCTCTCCTGCTCCCCCGGCAAGCCCACGTGGCTTGGAGACTGTGCAGAGCTGTGTGGGAGACATTCTCCTTGCTTTCCCAGTGCCCCAAACCAGCTGAACTGTTCTTGCCTCAGGAGAGGACAGTCTATCGAGCCCACAGCGCCGCTGAAGCAGTAGTGGGTAGGGAGAAGGGCCCAGCTCTGTGCCCGCTCCCCCGGCCTGCTACCCTATCCCCAAGGCTTGGAGAAGCTGTGGAGGACCACGCTGGAGGAGTTTTCCAGGCTTCTCCACTACCCTAAACCAGACAAACTCTTGGAGCATCTGGAGAAGGAACCTCTCTGAACGTCCAGAACCCCACTGAACCAGTAGCGGGGAAAGAAAGGGTCCAAACCCTGCAGCTGCTTCCTAGCACTGCGACACTGCCCCGATGCTTGGAGATGCTGTGGGGGGCAGCGCTCAAGCATTTCTCTGCCACCTCGTCTACCCTAAACTGGCAGATCTATTTGGGCCTCCGGAGAAGGCAACGTGTTGAGCTCCCAGCGCTCCGCTAAAGCAGAAGCAAGTGGGAGAGGGTCCAAACCCAGCAGCTACTTCCTAGCTCCACCAAGCCACTCCTTAGTGTGAAAACACTGCGGAGGGCTGCCCTGGTAGTAAACTCAGTCTTCCCTTCTGCCCTAATCAGGCAGGTGGCCTTGAAAGCTGAATTTATAAGGGTGGAAAGTTGAGAGTGGTGCTTTGTTCGGCAGCTATCTCACAAGTTTGCACCTGAGTGGTATCTTGCTGCACTCAGTGGTTGGCGTTCTGTGCCTGGAGAGTAGAGCCTGTCTTAGCAAGGCAGAGAAGCAAAGGAGGCTGCTATTTCTGAGGACTCAAAGAACCCTTGGGAGAGAAGACACATGACCAGAACACATCCTCCCCAGGTCTTCCAAGAATCATTCCTTTGAACCCAAGTACACAGCTTATAATCCACTTCCAACACCTCTGGTCCTCAACAAAGTGTCCAGATGAGGAAGAACCAGTGAAAAACATCAGGAACCATGAAATATCAGAGAGAAAGGTCACCTCCAAAAGAATATACTCATTCTACACCAACTGACACCAATTTACATGATATGATTAAACTAACAGAGGAAGAATTCCGAATATAGATTGTTAGAAAGCTCAATGGAATCAAAGAGTAAATAGAATCCCAACATAGAGAAACCACAAGAACAATCCGGGAAATGACTGAAAAATTCTCCAAAGATATAGAAGTAATTCAGAGAAACCAAGCAGAAATTCTAGCAATGAAGGAAACAGTCAAGGAACTCCATAACACAGTAGAAAGCCTCAAAAACAGGATAGATAATGCTGAGGAAAGAATCTCAGAGATTGAAGATTATATCTACACGCTAAACAAATCAGAGGAAGAAAGGATGCACAGAAACAAGAGACAAGATCAAAGCTTACAGGAAATATGGGATTATGTAAAAAAGTGGAACCTCAGAATGATTGGCATTCCTGAAGGGGATGAAGAACATTCACAAGGGTTGGAAAACTTATTTTACAGCATACTGGAGAAAAATATACCGGGCCTAGCTAGAAATCTGGATATCCAAATTCAAGAAGCGCACAGAACTCCTGGGAGACACAATGCGAATACGCAATTGCCTCGTCATGTGGTTATTAAGCTGACCAAAGTAAATGTGAAAGAAACAATACTCCATACAGCAAGGCGTAAACAACAAATAACCTACAAAGAAAAGCCTATCAGACTAATCGCAAACTTCGCATCTGAAATGCTACAAGCCGGGAGGGAGTGGGTGCCTATCCTTAATCTTCTAAAACAGAACAAAGCCCAACCTAGAATTCTTTATCTGGCAAAATTAAGTTTCATCTATAAGGGTGAAATAAAATCCTTCTCAGACAAGCAATCGCTGAAGGAATATGCAACGACCAGACCAGCACTACAGGAAATTCCAAGACCTACCTTCCATAGTGAATAGGGCAATAGATATTCTTCAAAATGAAATACTCAAAGAACTAAAGTCTAGATCTCGAACTTCATGATGACTCAAGCTCTAAGTCAAAGCAACAGACTTCACCCATCAATATGAACGGAAATCTTCCTCCAATTTCAATTCTCTCAATAAACGTAAATGGTTTAAACTGTCCTCTGAAGAGACATAGGCTGGCAGAGTGGATAAAATTCCACTAACCTAGTATTTGCTGTCTACAGGAAACTCACCTAAACCATAAATATGCCTCCTGGCTGAAGATCAAGGGATGAAAAACTATTGTCAAAGCAAATGGAAGTCAAAAGAAAGCAGGGGTTGCTATATTATTTGCATACAACATTAATTTTAAATTCACAAAAGTTAAAAAGGATAAAAAAGGCCACTTTATAATGGTGAAAGGGAAGATCCCACAAGAAGATCTAACAATTCTTAATATTTATGCTCCCAATGCAGGAACACCCAATTACATAAAGCAAACCTTGCCGAGCTAAATACCACCCTAAAGAATACTGCCATAGTAGCAGGGGACTTTAATACACCACTAAATGAACTGGATAGATCCTGCAAACAGAAGTTAAGTAAAGAAATAAGGGACCTAAACAAAGCTATTGACCAGAAAGGTCTGACAGATCTATACAGAACATTTCACCCAAATAAGTTGAATTTACATTCTTCTCAGCAGCCCATGGATCCTTCTCAAAATTTAATTGCATACTCGGCTGCAAAGCAGATCTCAAAAAAATTCAGGAAAATATAAATAATGCCTTGTGTCTTCTCTGACCATAGTGGTATAAAATTAGAGTTCAACTCTAACAGAAATTCACACCATATCAC